ATATATATATATATATATATACTGTATATACTGTATATATCCTTAATTTAGACTCCTAGAGTCTAAATTACGGTAAGTTTACACATTTTTCAAAGTAACATTTATTTATTTATGTTTGGTGCAACATTGTTCTTTAACAGATAATCAAAGTTTCTTTCACAGATGTGAATAAAATAGACAATATAGGAATAAAACTTAAAATGAAATACAAACTTAAACACAACGTGGGATTTTAAGTCAGACTTTAAAAGTATAAACTTTAGGAGGTTCATGTGACCAAACACTCATCTTTTACTGCTTTAGTTATATCTATACTACATGGGGAATCTTTGAACACAATTTAAAATTTTATCATTAGAAAACTGTATTTATTGGAGCACTGCATTCTTCCATAGCTACGTGGGAATGGGTTATAAAAAAAATTAATTGTTTGTTTTAAATAATTTGACCTAGATTTGATGCAATACAGAATTGAATACATAACTAATGTAAGTAATATGTCCCAATGTGAAAAAGCAAAACAAATATAAAATGTTTAACACTAATATTTAGCTTCTCAACTGAGTGCTTGTGTGCTGTTCTCACAGTGGAGAAGATCAGACCCCTGGTGGTGGATTTAATGTTCATCAGACATCAGAGGCCATTTCAGCTCACACAAATTATGATCCTTTGGAATATCTTGTTGGATAAAAATATCCTCTCATTATCTTACTTACTTAAAATGAGCCACACACGATGACAGGATATTTTCTAACCCAGTTTACTTGCAAGGGCAGACGGTCATGAAACAGACTTACACAGATGTTCCAAGTTACATGCTTGAAGCCTCTTCGTGAGAATCTGCAACGGACGGTGTGCCAGGATTTTTTTTTATGATACTCGCATATCAGCTCCTCCTCCAGACTTGGAGGTGACCTTGGAGTACCAGCTGCACATGCAGCTCCTCATTCATCTCTCGCTACTAACTCAAACACACGGCTCGTGGGCACTTAACATTAGTTAGTGACAAACATCCTTGACCTTGATCAAAATTCCCCTGACATTTCTATACATTAGCCATTTTCTCATGCTAAACTGGCAGTGGTGGAGAAATTACTCAAACACTGTACTTAAGTAAATGTACAAATATACAGACAAAAATGTACTCTAGTAAAAGTAAAACTACCACATTAACGTTTTTACTTAAGTTAAAGTAAATAAGTACTTGCTTTTAAAAATACTTAAAGTATTAAAAGTAAAAGTACTTGCTGAATGTATTACCTAATGCAGTGGTCTACAATATCTTTAAGTGTGCCTACCGTATGTATATTTTCTGTAATACATTAATAGTGTTGAGCCATTTTAATGAACAATGCTGCAGATAATACATGTTTTTATTGTGTTTACTCTGTGACACAGTTCACACTTGGACTTGTGATTCTGTGTCAGAATTTCAGGGATGGCATGCAATGATTGCATGCAGTACTGAGTTTCAAATGACATTAAACAAAACAAGAAAGAGGAATGATTTTACCTTTGAAAGTTTTTATTTAACACAAAGTAAAACCAATGTGTCATTTTAACTGCAGTAAACACATTAAAGTAAAAGTTGTCTGCCTGAATAAAAGGAGCATTAGACACAACAAAGGAATATCTGATCATTTCAACTCCAGTTTGTCATCAACTAGTTAAAATACTGTCTATTCAACCTTGTAATAGGTCTGTAGTGAACAATATTTTAACTTCCTGACACCATTTTTAAAACTTGGACTTGAGTGTCGAGACATCTCTTGTCTCCTAATATCATGAACTGACACATTTTAATATTGCAGCGAGAATTTCTTGTTCAAGTTCAGAAGAAGTTGTTTTTCAAAGTTTTTGAGTCCAGTCTGTCTCTTTTGGGAGAGAGAATCTGTCCTGCTGTACTGAATAGTCTTTCAATAATCTTTCAATAATCTGGCTGACTCTCGACAGTGGAATCCATTTTGGGTGTGTTAGTGGTGCTGCAGGTGCTCCCAGCTTAATGACATATAAACTATAAAAGTTATTGGCCCAGTTCTTCTTGAAGGTGGGTCTAACATTACCTGCCCACTTTGCAGTGATTCAATGGACCAGCTCCCCTCTCACCACTGGTTACTTTCAAACTAATGAACAAATCAAAAAACCACAACATGAATGTAACTTGTAACACAACGCATTATAGAAATGTAGTTGAGAAGAAAGTACAGATACTTAATGTAAAATGTAGTGGAGTAAAAGTCAAAAGTACCCACTCTACTTAGGTAAAGTACAGATACATGAAAAATGTACTCAAGTACAAGAATGAAGTACTTGTACTTAGTTACATCCCACCACTGCAAACTAGGTAGTCAAACTTGAGCACACTGCTGGTTTGAATTAAACAGACGTGTCTTTAGTCTCCTGTGTGTCATCTGAACAAGGTGCATGTATTCTTGTTTTCTTTTGATTGAAGTGCTTTAGACAGCATCTTGCTCTACTTTTTATTTGTTGTGACAGTTAGCTATAAGCAATCAAAAATGTGCATCCTGCACTTCTACATGAAAGTAGTAGTCTCCTGCAGTTAATGGATGCTTTGTCTGTTTGCATGCACTGGACATTGACACTGTGACCGTTTAGTACCAGTGCATGAACTGCTGCCTCCCTGCTGAACAAATGCAGCAAACTTGGTCATTTTCTCTTTTTATAATAACTGCAAATTGGTGCTGAGTAGCAGAGATGACACAGAACAGTGCAAAAGTCTACCTGAAATGCAACTGTTTCTTTAGCGTTTTAAAGATTTACTGATTATAGATGATAGAAAGTAATCAAAACAATCAGAAAATATTCAAGCTTGATTACTGTCATGGATTTATGGATGGATGTCAGATGAGTGACAGCTCTATCTTCTCCACAGGTACTCTCGGAGGCCACCACTGAACCGGGATTCTGTGCTTTCTATGAGGAGTGTGGACGTAACCCCTCTGTAGGAGAGACCCTCATTCCTCCTATTGTCCCTTGTCTCGATCCAAGCCCCGCCCGACACCTCACGGGGGAACACTACAGGAGGTTCAAACAGGTGTGTTCATATGATTGAAGCTAACAATTGTTAGTCCTTGTTTACTTTTAATAAACATGCCTAATAGTCAGGTATTCTTTTGACATAATGTCATTTGTATTGCTGTAGGTGTGTCCCATGTTAGACAATGGTGAGGGCAACACATTTGCCTGCTGCTCCATGAAACAGCTTTCATCTCTGGAGTTGAGCTTGACGCTGTCCAAAGCTTTGCTGGTCCGCTGTCCTTCCTGCGTTGATAACTTTGCCCATCTGCACTGCATCAACACCTGCAGCCCCAACCAGACGCTGTCTGTAAAGGTCACAAAGGTCATGAACATCACTTACCTGGGCAAGCCAAAGGAAGCAGTGGTGGCCTACCAATCATTCATGAGCACCACCTTTGCAGATGCCGCCTTCCAGTCCTGTAAGAATGTCAGGATTCCAGCCACAGGAGGATTTGCCATCTCCACCATGTGTGGTCGGTACGGTGCCAAGCTTTGCACCCCTCAGCGCTGGTATGATTTCCAAGGGGACTCCAGTAATGGCCTGGCTCCACTGGACATTGATTTTCAACTGATTAAGGAAGGAGACACTGCAGGGCTGCCAGAAGGTGTGATTCCTTACAATGGACGAGCTCTGAAGTGCAACGAGACAACGGCAACAGGTGGTCAGGTCTGCTCCTGCCAAGATTGCGAAGAGTCATGTCCAAGCGTGCCGCCTCTTGCCCCGCCCCCAGCACCCTTCAAATTGTTTGGGACCAATGGATTCCTTGTGATTGCTATCATCTTACTCTGCCTCCTGGTACTTGCTTTCATTCTCTACCTTACTGTCTCTTGTTTGGTTGCTTCTAAAAATGGAAAGGATGAGGAGAAAGGAAAGAAGAAAGGTAAAAACAAAGACCAGAACAGTAATGATGTGACTCAGCGTATCATTCAACCATCAGAGGTGACCTGTACCGACAGGAACAGCTTGGCTGCCCAAGCTTTCATGGGCTTACAGTTCCAGCGTTGGGGAACCTTCATGGCTTCTTATCCCCTCATGGTAAGCATGTCCAAAAGAATCTTTTAAACTGTGATACACTTGTTCTTACTAGAAACATGATCAGAAAGTATTTCTTATTTCTTAAACGCTCTTTAATTTCCTTTCAAGGTTCTCTTGGTCGCAGCTATTATTGTGATCGTTTTCTCTGCTGGCCTCAAGTTTATCAAGCTCACTACTGACCCAGTTGAGCTCTGGTCTGCTCCCAACAGCAGGGCCCGCCAGGAAAAAGACTTCCACGACACACACTTTACCCCCTTTTTTCGGACAAATCAGCTGATCTTGACAGCGCCACAGAGAAAAGGTCACATTTATGACTCGTTGCTGTTTGGGAAGCAGAACTTTAGCGGGCTCGTATCTAAAGATCTCATCATTGAGCTGCTGGAGCTCCAGACAAAAATACAGGTAAAAACCACATGGTCTAAATAGACTCTTTGTAAAAAAAAAAAAAAAAAAGCAGTACTTTATTTTTGATTTATTGTTCTGTCTATTTTATCGTTTTGTAGCAAATTGAGTTCTGGTCAGAGGATCTGAAACGCACAGTAAATCTGAAGGATGTGTGTTATGCACCACTGAACCCTTCCAACCCTTCCCTGACCGACTGTGCTGTCAACAGCCTGCCACAGTACTTCCAGAACAGCCTGGACAACATTAACGCAAAAGTGAACATGACTGAACTGGGAGTGACCAAAGAGGTAGACTGGAGAGACCACCTTATCTACTGCCTCAAGTAAGGATCTATTTAAAGCAACAGTTCATTAGTTGTCCATGAAAGTACCATTTAATGACTTTTCCTTTCTTCTGCCTCTTCTAAAGCTCTCCACTGTCTTTCAAAGACATCACTGATTTAGGAATGAGCTGCATGGCTGATTATGGAGCGCCAGTCTTCTCGTTTCTGGCTGTGGGAGGCTATAAAAGTGAGTGACTTTTATCACCTTCACATTCATACAATAAAATCTGCCCAACAAAACACATTTCTAACTAACTGTATGTGTCATGCTTTTTCCAGACGATGAATTTACTAATTCTGAAGCTTTCATCTTGACCTTCTCTCTGAACAACTACATTCGTGACAACCCCAAATTCAAAGTGGCTTTGCAGTGGGAGAAGGAGTTTCTCAAGATTGTCCAAGACTACCAGAAAAATCCAGCTGCAAACTTCACCTTTGCGTACATGGCAGAGGTAAAGTAGGATTATTTTTGCTGAGATCTAGAATCTAGATCTATAATCTAGAAATTTAGGTTGGGCTTTATATCATCATTGACCTCTTTCATCTATTTTTCTCCTGCCTATGATGGTCTCCTATCTTTTTCTTTACAATTTGTATTTTTGTTGGATGTAACTGGGACCCTGTGTACATAGTTTCGTTCCACCTCATGTACCACATGTGATGTGAATGACAATAAAGACACTTTGACCTTGACCAAAGGTTAAACAAAGAAGTTATTACCACAGCTTCTCTGAAGGGATCACTGATTTTTCTTGTTTGTCCTTTTGACTGGTCTCTTTCTGCCTGCAGAGATCCCTGGAGGATGAAATCAATCGAACAACAGCAGAAGATATCCCCATCTTCATGATCAGCTATGCTGTAATCTTTGTTTACATTGCTGTGGCCCTGGGGGAGTACAACTCATGGAAACGCATACTGGTAAGGCTTCAGAGAGTGATGTCGAACTTTAGTACAGAGCAGAACTTCCCATCACACAACATCTTTAGCCAGTGATGGGCCGTCTAACATTTTAGTCCAAAAGGGTCAACAAGTTCTATCTACCAAGTTGAAATAATTAATGAAACTGGTCTTATCACATACAGTGATAAGCAGAAGCTACAACAGTATGCTTATGTAAGCTGTACGCTTATCTTGACAGTGAACATGTACTGTAAGTTTGTTATCCATAAAGTTTTATAATATAAAAAAAGTTGATACCATAGTTGACAATATGGGGAAATAATTACTGAGCTGAATGCATACCTGTATTCTTATCTCTGTCCTTCAGGTGGACTCTAAGTTTTTGGTGGGTTTGGGTGGGATCCTGGTGGTTGGCTGTTCTGTCCTGGCCTCCATGGGTTTCTACTCGTGGATTGGTATCCCGTCCTCGCTGGTCATCCTGCAGGTGGTGCCCTTCCTGGTGCTTGCTGTTGGGGCTGACAACATCTTCATCTTTGTTCTGGAGTATCAAGTGAGTCCATCTGAGCACACAGTGGATTCACAGTGTTTCAGATGCTTTATGATCAAGATTATTTTTAATAATGTCGCCTTGTGCTCTTGCAGAGGGATGCACGGCGGTCTGGAGAGACAAGAGAGGAGCAGATCGGTCGTGTACTTGGACAGGTTGCTCCCAGCATGCTCCTGTGCAGTCTCTCTGAGTCTATCTGCTTCTTCTTAGGTAGGAACATTTGGAACACGGTAAACTAACAAAAGTTTAGAAACGTCTATTAGTGGAGTAATCTCTGAATGTGTTTCTGTTTTTCTTTATCAGGGGCCCTGTCCACAATGCCAGCAGTGAAGTCCTTTGCGCTGTACGCTGCCTTGGCTGTGCTCATGGACTTTGTTCTCCAGATGACTGCCTTTGTGGCACTTTTGTCCTTGGATGCTCGGCGCCAAGATAGCAACCGTTGTGAACTACTATGTTGTGTTTCTGTGTCAACACAACGTCCCAACAAGCCAAATGAAGGCTTTTTACTGCCGTTCATGAGGAAATACTATGCCCCCGTCCTGCTGCACCGCTACACCCGGGTCATAGTGGTAAGGCTGCTAATCCAACAGTTGTTCCTTATGTCTCTGCGTTCAGACATACTTTTAATGATAAATTCAGTAAACTCAAATCAAGCGAAGTGAAACATTTGCTAGATTGGATTATGATTAGAGACGTTTTAACTTGATTTTTGTTCAACTCATCCATCTTTGTGTTGTCTTCAGATGTTGGTTTTCATCTTCATGCTTTGCGCGTCCTTATTCCTCATGCTAAATGTGAAAGTTGGTCTAGATCAGGAGCTGGCCATGCCCAAGGTCAGTAAGAGCTGCTTTATTCGTGATGAAACACATCACAGATTGTTTTGCATGCAAACTCACCAAGAGTGTTCTGTGTCGCTGCAGGGATCTTACATGCTGGACTATTTTAAGTACTTGTACAAATACTTTGAAGTTGGTGTTCCCGTGTATTTTGTAACAAAGAGGGGATTTGACTTCACAAAAGTGGAAGGCATGAACGCAGTCTGTTCTAGCGTTGGTTGTGATCAGTTCTCAATGACCCAGAAGATCCGTTATGCCACAGACTACCCTGATCGGTGAGAAAACTTAATATCTTTCATTTACTTTTTAATGTAAACCAGCACATAAAAATAGGTCACATTGTTGTGTCTATCCATTTCCTTTCCTCTTTGTTTGTGGCGTTCTCATTGCTATAAATTCTCCTGACACATTCTGTTGATTGTGTAGTTGTAACCGCTGACAAACAAGCAAATCAGATTAATTAATAACAAACTTAGTTGGATGAAAGCCACTGAACAGATTATTGGTGCCTCTATCTGATTGTTCCAAGTAGAGGGAACAAACCTCCCTAATATCCTTCAAACATGTACTAAGAGCTTTCCTGCTTCTTAAAACACATTGCTGAGGTATTTTATTGCAAACATGTACAAATTAAAAAAAAAAAAAACAAGTGTAATGTGCTTTGTTTAATATGAAGTTAAATACAAAGAAACAGCAAGCTATCAGTTTGAATGGGAACCAGAAAAGTTTTGTACATAAACCCTTTTTACACCACAGCTGGTGAAGGTTTTTACAAATGTAGTTTTTAAATGTTGCTTTTATTCAGTGGATGAGCTCAAACATTGTTTTGTTTTTGTGTATGTTTATTTTTCCTGAAATATGTTGATAGGTCAAATTTGTTACATTTGAGTTTATATTAAGATAACTCCCAGTTCACAGTAACTTTACATGTATTATTCTGAATTTTAACTATGTCCAGGTGTTTCAGCAATAGGATCACATATAATACTACTCAACAAAATCTGTATATTCATACTGTATATATGAAAAAGAAAAATTTTAATATTGCGTCGTAGTGTCAGTTTGTTCAAAGTAAACATATCTGAACCATTTTGACACTACATTGGGAGTGACCAAAATGAACAAGGTTAGAACAGTGGATATAAAAAGTCTACACACTCCTGATAAAATACCAGGTTTTTGTAACGTAAAAGAAAATTAAACTACAGTCACGTTTCAAAACTTTTCTATATTTACTGTGCCATATACATCCTGTACACAACTGAAAATATAAAAATCAAATCATACATTTAGATATCAAAGTTTATGCTCAATAATCCAGGTAGAAAAATCCAACAAAGTTAAGTCAGGTCCTCTGGACGGTTGCTTTGTGTTGAAACATTTCATTTTTCATCCAAAGGACTTCATCAGTCCAAGGAGCCACAACAAACTCAGTCTTATAAGTAGCACCTTCTCATAGTGGGTCAACCAGTTTGATGGTTATAAGATGGTTTCTGGAGTCCACCCTCTCCCCTGTCGACTCCTCTGAGGCAGCC